ATCCATCCATCGAGTTCCATCCCTTCTCCGAATCCCCACAGTGAGTCATCCATCCCTCCTCCAAAATCCATCTCCTCATGCATTCGACCTTGATCACTCCGTCTGTCTATGCCACATCCACATTCCTGTGCCTGTCTGTTGCCGTTAACACAACCGGAACCCAACTTGACGCCTGTTGCCATGTTTGCGCCTAGGCAAGGGATTGGAACTGTTCGAGGATGCTTGTGCTGGTGTGGCAGACACCAAACACCCTCGTCTTCCAGCTAACGGCAGCCACGATCAGCAGGAAGTGCAGAAAGAAGCCTTGAACTGACGAATGACAAGTGCTGACAGTTGGACAGCTGGACGCGAGTGTCAGGGCAGTCTCTCTGACGGACCGATTTGCATGACCCTCAGGTTGGGTCAAGTCTGTACCCAATCGACTGGTGACGACATGCTGTCCCTACACTTGATCATTTACCGTGCGAAGAAGGAAATGCCTTCCAGTGATTGAAGGAATCAAAGCAGGTGGTGGTGGAGGTACCACTGCGTCGTGATCATCCATTCCACTAATCAACGTGGAGTGCGAAGGCGGACAGAAGTGGGACAAAGCGGTAGAACGGTCAGTGGGGCGGATGGATTGCAGTGAAGTGGCGACCTGTGAGAAACTGCTGAAAGTCGCCATCACGAAATGCGGTCGATTGTGAAGGAGAAGTGGAGGTCAAGTGTCAAAGGCACAAATTAGGATGTCAACCTACCCGACGACACAGACTACGAACACTGTCAATGCACTTGAGCACTTGGAAGGTGTGGCGTGTTATTAAGCAGTATGTTTGAGGTCGCGTAATCTGTGGTCAAAGCTCTCTATGTCTGTCTGTCCGTCTGTCTGTCTGTCTGTGTGTGTGTGTGTGTGTGCGAGTCTACTTGACAACCGAAATGGTGCGTTTGCTTTGGTGGGACAACGTTACGTCTTGGGAAGAGCCCACATGCCATGTCACACGTGGAGGGATTGACCTGACCTGAATCGTGAGATCGAGACGGTGGTGAATACTGTGGGTGGGCCGAAAAGTGATAGCGAAGTGGAAGAAGGGAAGCATCGTGGCCAACTGTTCTCTCATTCATTCATTCATTTGTTTCCTTCGTTCGTTTGCTCGTCCCAAAGCACCCTTGAGTGCAATGGCAATCCGTCGACATGGTGACGTGGTACGTGTTTGGATGCTTCAACACGACCACTGGAGCAGATAAAGAAGATGGCGAGTGCGGATGTCTCTTCAATGCTTAGCCTTAATTGTCGTGATGACTGAAGTGTGCGAGCGGTGGAAAACAAACAGACAACTTCGAGGCTTGATGTGTCATTTGCCTTGCCGAGGCCAGGACAAGTTTTCCACGTAGTCTGGACATTAAATAGTCACCAGGATGGCTGACTATGTCTGTCCGGTGTTCCACCCTCCACCTGACACTCAGACGAGGAAATGATGGCAAGAGGACTGCTAGGGTGAGTGGGAAATAGAGGGTGGGAGAATTAGAGAGACAGAACTGGACGAGACCTCAAGCTGAAGTGGATGAAGTGGAAGTCGCCTTTTTGACCTATGCGACAGCCAACAGTCAAGGGACAGCGATAGAGCGCTCCTCAGATAGTTGGTCTGATTTTGAACACACGTTTTGACGCCAAAA